TTTTATGAGATCAACCAATACCGATGTATGTGAGGTCGAGGTTGAGGTTGACGCGTGTTGTGAGTACTCGGATTGGTATTGTATCTGGTTCTGTCTTTAGTAGTTCAGACCTGCTTGGCGCTGAAGTCACCTCAATTTCCCTGTGTTTGTACTTTTACGTTTTGGTTTTCCCTCGGTTGTTTATTGCCACGTTTGCGTACGCATTTGTGGTTGGTGTTTTTTTTTTTTCACTGGACCAATCCCGAGGCTATGGCTTCTTGGGTGTGATGTAGGTCCGTTCCATATTCACGCACCCCCCCCCCCCCCCCCAATACTCTTCCTCCGCATGTACACACTCACTCATACATGTGTCCACTACCCGTGCGTGTGTACATGCATACACAGTTGCTGAGCATTTCGGCGGCCTTTCAGAGTGCACGCGTGGCGTTTCGTGCGCTCTCGCAGACTTGGGTCATGTCGTCGTGGGTGTTCTACGGGTGTCTGGTGTCATCTACTCTGAGTCTGGTATGCGTTGTGCTGCTGGGTGTGATGCTGTGCATTGTGCTCATGCGCAAAGACCCACAAAGGCCGGCCCGGCTCTTGCATTGGTAGGTATGTGTTGTGTTGGCGCTGGGTTGTTGGCTGGTTGATTTACCTGAGTCCTGTGCTTTTAGGGTGACATGTCAAGAGTAGTGTACGTACGGACATCAGCCAGCGTGAGTCTTACTGGATGCATACACGGCTGAGATTGAATACATATAGAAAGCTTATATGTGTGTGTGTGTGTGTGTGTGTGTGTATATATAAATGTTTATTTGTATATATATACATAAATATATATATATGTATGTATGTATATATGTATATGGTTATGTATCTATAAATATATATATCTTATACTTTATATATATACATGTTTATATGTATATATGTATGTATATACATATATGTATTTTAAATATATATATATATATATATATATATATATATATATATCTAAATATATATATATTACATATTATATAAGTTATATTATAAATATATATATATATATATATATATGTATATATATAAAATGTATATATTTTTATGTATATGTATATATGTAAATATATATATGTGTGTGTGTGTGTGTGTGTGTATTTGTTTATGTATGGTAATGGGTGCGTTCCATGGATAGGTGTTTGATATCCTCAAAAGCACGATCGTGCATTGGCTTGGTGCTCTGTGCCGATGGCCTTTGCATCGGCAGTTTTAAAGTTCGTTTAGAATCAGTTTCTGCAAAAACCCCAAGCTTATCTAACTCGACTCGCAGAATTGCTGGCTTCCACAGCTGGGTGTGCTGCTGTAGTGTCGATTTCCAATTAAATATAGAAACCAAGTTTATTCCTCTCAATTCACAAACTGCTAGTTCCTACAGCTGGATTTGCAGCGGCAGCGTCAATTTCTACTTTAATATTAAAACCAGGTTTATTCCTCTCAATCCATAAGCTGCTAGTTCCTACAGTTGGGTGTACAGCGGCAGCGTCAATTTCTAATTTAGTATAAAAACCAAGTTTTTGCCTCTCAATCCACAGGCTGCTAGTTCCTACAGCTGGGTGTGCTGCGCTGATAACCTTTGTAGCGGCAGGCTCGCTCGTTTCGTTCTCAATAGGAGTGGCGGACTATTGTATAGACCCACAACTGTATGTGCCTTGGGATATATGTGTGTGGTATGGCTTACACGTGTATGTACAATGGGCTGTGTCCGTGTATACTATGGGGTATATATGGGTGTACCATGGGTTGTATGTGTGTTTTATGGCTTATATGTATATGTATCATGGGTTATGTCCGTGTATACTATGGGGTATATTCGGACAACCATGGGTTATATGTGTGTTTTATGGCTTATATGAATATGTACTATGGGCTATGTCCGCGTATACTATGGGGTATATATGGATGTACCATGAGTTATATGTATGTTTTATGGCTTATATGTATATGTATCATGGGTTATGTCCGTGTATACTATGGGGTATATATGGATGTGCCATGGGTTATATGTGTGTTTTATGGCTTATATGTATATGTACCATGGGTTATGTCCATGTATACAATGGGGTATCATATAAATGATGTACCATGGGTTATATGTGTGTTGTATGGCTAACATTTATATGTACCATGGGTTATGTCCGTGTATACTATGGGGTTAATTCGGATGTACCATGGGTTATATCTGTAGGTTATTTCTCCGTTTGATATCGCATAGACTCGAGAATTTTCTCGTTTTGATGTGTAGAAATTTTACTTCTATGTGCTATGCTAGTGTCATTGCAATCCGATTTAAATTTCGAAATGTACTTCTATCTACTTATACACAATTCCCCCCACAATGCCATGCACCAACCTGGGCCAATATATTTCTGAGTCATGGCTTCATGCCATCCTTTGAAGACTTGGGAGTCTCAAAGGGTATCCTAAAATATATATTTCGGACTATACACCCCACGCCATGCCATGTAGCGCCTCCTCTAAGTGCACTTATGTTCCTCTGCAGTTATTCGGCACACTGGCTGCCTGTTGATTTGCAGTACATCGTCAACTGCACCGCCGGAGACAACACATTCGATGCCTTATACCAACATCTGGAGGTATGTTAGGTCTACCTCTGCACGCTTAGTACGGTACTATCATCTGGAGGTTCCTCTGCGTGCTTAGTACGGTACTATCATCTGGAGGTAGGTTAAGTCTACCTCTGCACGCTTAGTACGGTACTATCATCTGGAGGTTCCTCTGCGTGCTTAGTACGGTACTTTCATCTAGAGGTAGTTTAAGTCTACCTCTGCATGCTTAGTACGGTACTATCATCTAGAGGTAGTTTTAAGTCTACTTCTGTATGCTTAGTACGGTACTATCATCTGGAGGTAGTTTAAGTCTACCTCTGCATGCTTAGTACAGTATCAGCATCCAGAAGCAGTTTAAGCCTACCTCTGTATGCTTAGTATAGTACGAATATACAGAAGTAGTGTAAGTCTACCTGTGTATGCTTAGTACAATATCAACATCCAGAAGTAGTTTAAGTCTACCTCATGTATGCTTAGTAGGGTACAAACATCTAGAGGTAAGTTAAGTTTAACTTTGCACGTCTAGTACATTTGGTATACCTCACATTGGGGGGGGAGTGAGTAGAGTCTATGGCTTGGACCAAGATGTACATATCATGTGTTGTGATGTCCTGAAGATGAACCTCTAAACAAATACAGTAGTGCAAATAGCCCCATTTATAAACCCAACTTGTTTGCGAAGAAGGCCCCTGTGTCGTTTGTGTTAGTATCGTGACACGAATGAAACGCATGACGGACGTTTGATCAATCCCTTCGAGTTGGCTATAGACGTTGGGCATATCCGTGTCTAGAAGTGGCGTGTATGTGTTGTGTTGTGTTGTGAGTTGCGCTAAGGCGTATACGTAATACGATATCTTACTTGATTGCAAGGCACTGACAACCCAGCTTGCCCATAGAATTCACTTGCGTAGGTAGATGCAACATATGTGAAGCATATTCCTTCCTCGAAAGCACTTAATGTAACACGTGTTGGCTGTATAGGTTGTGCTCTCATATGCCGATAGGCGATGTTTGCTTGTTTATAACATTATCCATGTGGAGGATGTATATCTTTGTAGATGAGGTCTTCACCCGGCACACTGGAGTACCGCATGTGTCCTACCAAACCCAATCAATCCGCGGAGTCATATGTGCGATTTATTTAAGGGAGTTAGGGTTCAGGGTTTAGGGTTTGACCTGGCGGTAGTTTAGTATATAAATACGGCACAAAGATATCAAGACATAGAATATCATATCCTCATCCAGGAACCCTAAACCCTAAAACCTTAGTACGAATACGAGCCACATAAAGTATCGTCCGCTAAAGTATTGGACCCACAATTACAAAGTGAGCGCACTCTGCTTCATAGACTAAAAACCCTAAACTTTAAACCCTAAAACCCCGACCACTTCCGCTCCTAACACATCTTAGCCTCATGCCAACACTAGTGCCCAGGCATGCATTCTATGCGTAGCGTCTGCGCATACTTTGTACTCAAGTGATGCGTAGCGTCTGCGCATACTTTGTACTCAATTGATGCGTAGCGTCTGTGCATACTTTGTACTCAATTGATGCGTAGCGTCTGCGCATACTTTTGTGATGCGTAGCGTCTGCGCATACTTTGTACCCAATTGATGCGTAGCGTCTGCGCATACTTTGTACTCAATTGATGCGTAGCGTCTGTGCATACTTTGTACTCAATTGATGCGTAGCGTCTGCGCATACTTTGTACTCATGTGATGCGTAGCGTCTGCGCATACTTTGTACCCAATTGATGCGTAGCGTCTGCGCATACTTTGTACTCAAGTGGCTGTACTGCTCGTATGTTTGCCGTTGAAGATCGCAGAAGACAGGGCGTAGCTATGCACGTGACACAGACAGCGCTGCTGGGTGGTGTATATATTCGCTACTTTCTGCTCGGGGGTACAACTACCTACCATCGATCTAGGCCGCACGTCCACACCCACGCGCAGAGGGATTGTTGTGTATTTAATGTTACAGGCTTGAAAGGTTTTTAGAAACCGTTGCACACGTAGATTCTGATGACCTTCTTTCTACCGTCGACGCCCATTCCGTTTTGTGTCCCTCATCTGAATCCTATTGTAATCAACGGTACCCTACAAAGCGTGGCATAGCCTATCCCACCTGAAATCACCACACCACCTCTCGCTCGATTAACATGCGCATGTATTGATACCCCTCTCTGTGTACATTGATCCCTCCCTCTCTGTACATTAATACATTAATACCTCCCTCTCTGTACATTAATACATTAATCCCTCCCTCTATACATTAATACATTAATCCCTCCCTCTCTGTACATTAATACATTAATCCCTCCCTCTATGTACATTAATACATTAATATCTTCCTCTCTGTACCAGGATGAGCACTCAGAGTTCTCCACAGCACTGCTGAAGGCAGAGAGAGCGGAGTGTGACTCTTCACCTGCAACCGGTATGTCGGTGTGGTTTCTGTGTGACACATTGGGATGGCTTGGCCACGCGTGCATGGTTTAGGGTTTTAGGATTTGCTAAACCGTTCTCCACAGCACTGCTGAAGGCAGAGAGAGCGGAGTGTGACTCTTCACCTGCAACCGGTATGTCGGTGTGGTTTCTGTGTGACACATTGGGATGGCTTGGCCACGCGTGCATGGTTTAGGGTTTTAGGGTTTGCTAAACCCTTCTGCATACCTGCCTGCTCCCTGCTCGTGTGGGTAGGCACGTGCACGAGAACGGAATCGCGACCTAACGCTGAGAGGTGGTGAGGATGTCCTTGAGAGGATGCCAGTGCTCTCAGGACGCCCCAAGAATTTCATTTAAGGGTTTTGGGGTTTAGAGCAGGGGGGTACACACTGGAGTGGGTTGTGGGTATAAATACTTATTCCGTCCTAGAGATCGTCCCTCATCTCAACAAGTCTCGACACTGTCTGCCCGGAATGTCTTTGGCAAACCACAAGCTCGCATCGAGTTAGATTCTCGTATGGATTCGATCGCTCGGTACTCGACGGGGTTATAGCGCCACACTCACCTTCTACACGCACCGCTACTGTGCACGTACACTGACAGACACCTCTACCCACGTGGGAGAGGCCACCCCATACAATTGTATTTGCCCAACATATGGGATGTACTCAGAACTAACATGTTCCTCTTCCCAGGTAGCAGAGGATGCTTACAGGCAATTGTATTTAACCAGAATGTGGACTGTACTAAACACTCACCTTCACCTCTGCCCGGGTAGAAGCGGACACTCACACCAATAGTTACATCCACGCAGATCATCTGGTGAAGAAGCTGGAGACGGCGGTAGGGGATCTCAAGACCATTGTGCAACGGGGCCAAGATGCCGTGAAGTGCAGGACGGTGCACAAGTACTATGTGCAGATAGCCTACGACTATGTCTGCAATGAGGGTGTGTTAGTTGCTTTACAAACCTTGTGCCTTGTATGTGTGTATCTATTTTGTCATCCGCGTATGTAGATAGCCTACGACTGTGTGTGCAATGAGGGTGTGTTAGTTTCTTTACAAACCTTGTGCCTTGTATGTGTGTATCTGCCTCTTCATCCGTGTATGTAGATAGCCTACGACTGTGTGTGCAATGAGGGTGTGTTAGTTGCTTTACAAACCTTGTGTCTTGTGTGTTTGTATCTGTCTCTTCATCCGTGTATGTAGATAGCCTACGACTGTGTGTGCAATGAGAGTGTGTTAGTTGCTTTACAAACCTTGTGTCTTGTGTGTGTGTATCTGTCTCTTCATCCGTGTATGCAGATAGCCTACGACTGTGTGTGCAATGAGGGTGTGTTAGTTGCTTTACAAACCTTGTGTCTTGTGTGTGTGTATCTGTCCCTTCATCTGTGTATGTAGATAGCCTGTGACTGTGTGTGCAATGAGGGTGTGTTAGTTGCTTTACAAACCTTGTGTCTTGTGTGTGTGTATCTGTCTCTTCATCCGTGTATGTAGATAGCCTACGACTGTGTGTGCAATGAGGGTGTGTTAGTTGCTTTACAAGCCTCGTGTGCGTGTGTATCCTTGTGGTGACCCTTCATCCATGTATGCGTGTGTAGTGAAAGGGACTGTGTTCTCCTTTGTTGGAATGTGTTAATAGTGGTCGTTTGTGTTGGGTTCGTGGGCGTGTATTTGGATGATATGTGTGATATAGGTTTAGGTGTGTGTTGGTGTACGCTAGTGTAGATTTATTATATACCATGTACCTGCGTGTTGATCTGTTTAGATTTATGCAGGTATATTTCAGCCGTGGTGGTATGCGTTTACGTTCGTATGCGTCTCTTCGGAAACGGTATCTGCATCGCAACAATTGCTACCGGCACCTCTACTACCACACAAACACACCAGAAGCAACAACGGCTTAAAACACGCTAAGCTCACTCTAAAACCAATACACGCGTGTACTGGATGACAGCTCATAGTATCAATAGGCACACACGACACCGGCATGCGCGTGCATGCACTCGCTCTCTATTTTTTTTAACTTTAGAGTTTAACGACAAACACAGTAAGTAATACACTTAAACCACACACAAACAAAAAGTTTTCCTTACACAGCGCCTTAGACCACTCTGCCACCCTGCAAGTCTGAGGACAGGTATAAGTGCAGGACACGAACTTGCGTCTCAGAAGATATTGCGGAGTTTACAATTGAAGTCGAAACTCAGATGATATGCGAAAAGATGAGTCAATATCAATTTAACACTGTCAATATCTTTTTGTACTTAATTCTTGCCTCATCCCACGCGTCAGGCACATACGATCTAGAAATCCTGCTGGCGTCTGTAGCGGCTATGGCTGTGCTTGTGGCCATCCCTTTGATTACCAGTCGACGCATAGCAGCACCATTGCCTTACGAAGACAGGTGAGTGTGGTACACTTCACTTGCTAATACATTTGTGTTGTATGTACAAGCTGTGTATGTAGGCAGTTGTGGCATGTGATACGTAGAGCTATCCTTCATGCCTCATTATGTGAGCATCCCGTGTGGTGCATTTCTGACAAACCGCGCGCTTTTATTTTATTCCGCTAAAACTGCTGATCTCGGTCCTATCTGCCACATCTTTATATATATATGTATATATATATATATATATATGTCAGTATGTATGTATGTATGTATGTATGTATGTATATATTTGTATGTATGTATATATTTATGATGTGTGTGTGTGTGTGTGTGTGTGTGTGTGTGTGTGTGTGTGTGTAGTNTATATACTATATACTATATATGTGTGTGTGTGT